AGAAGTAGAAGAAGAAGAAGAAGAAGAAGAAGAAGAAGAAGAAGAAGAAGAAGAAGAAGAAGAAGAAGCAGCAGCAGCAGCAGCAGCAGCAGCAGCAGAAGAAGAAGCAAAAGCCGAAGCAGAGGAAGAAGCAGAAGAAGAACAACAACAACAACAACAATGACAATGACAATGACTATGATAATGATAATACTAAATAATTATAATAATAATTTTATTGGGCTCATTAAAATTCTTCACTAAAACTATACAAGATAATCATTTACAGCACAAAACTATTTGCAATAACAATTGTATTAAAAATCATTGAAAAAGGAAGCAAAAGGTAGTTTACAGAAATAAACAATAATAATAATAATAATAATAATAATAATAATAATACGATACGACAGAAAATTAGAGAGAGGATTTTCAATCTTTCTCTGGATTTTCATGAAGGAATTCAAATGGATATCAACTCTGGTTTGGATACCTACCATACATCTGATCAGGAACCAGTCCTGCCAGTTTCACCCTGTGGATGTACAACACTCGATGCTCTGATCCACCATCAGTGAATTTAGTGATGTCACCAGAAGCTTGTAATGTCAGAGGAAAACCAGCTTTGTTATATTCCACCATAGTGTAGTTTGTATATGCTAAAGTCACCCATGTGACCATCATCTCTGTTGGGTCTCCTGAAAGTACAACAATGTAGGTTTATGTATTTAAGACATTGTTGATGAGGTTATCAATAATCAACGTTAACTAGAAGAGTTGCTGTCTGCCAGCAGGTGATAATCTTGCATGTGTATACATGTGTATTTCTCATTGACGTGTAGCTTTGCCTTTGTGGTTTTGCTTTGAGCAGTTTTGCCACTTTCTGCCTTTGGCGTGCCATGTTGCCATGGTTACCCTCTTTATTTGCATTCATGCTTATTGCCTGCATTGCTTACAATTGGCACCTGCCCTCCATTTTAAAATTGCTATCGCCAAGTAAACAATATTATTAAAACTGCATGTACATGCTAACTGTACAAGTTAATTTGTTTGCAAAGCTTGTGCTATCACCTGCATCTAGATCTAAGTTTTTCATATCTGGAATGCAATGCCTATTTTACTTTTTTAAAAAATTGTTTTTGGCTGATTTATATGGTTTTCTGATTTTGCAGTGAGACTGGTAGACTCTGACTTTTGATTGCCCAACAGGCAAGGGGAAATCTTTAAAGACATTCAAATTACAGAGGTAATGTGTAGAGAGGAACCCTGCCTTACAGTCATAGTCTTGTTAATATGGTCACCTCATTACTATGGCCAATTACATGTATGTTTGTCCTGCCGAAATGCCCATACATTTTCTTTAAGAAAACCCTGTTTATCCAGCCACCCTGTCTATACAGCCAACAGCCACATTCTGAAATCCCGACCTATATAATCCTTTTTAACAACTGCCTTGCAAAGTGGAGGTTGGGTGACTGAGGCATCCCAGAGTTTGGACCACTATTGGCAGCCAGCTTCTAGATGGAGACCACTCCTATGGCTGGCAAATCCTGGTGACCCAGCCATGAGCTTGCACAGGGAAGGGAGAAAGCAGGCACCTGTCACACTGATATAACAGTACTAGTGGAAAGAGAAGGGAGGGACAGGCAAGGGGATACAACCGCTGAGCAGAGCCCGTGAGCTTGAGATTAAGACGCTTGAGGAAAGCGCTGACAATGTAAAACTACTTGAATGCCTTGTGGCCTAAGAACACATGGAATCCTGGCGCATACGCATATCAAAATGTTGCTGACCACAAAGGCAAGACTTGTGCTCCTTGTTGATAAAATTTTATCCCGTTATTCATTCATATATTCACAATATTGACCACACAAAATAAATCTTTAGAAGCAATTTTAAGAACTACTCTCTTTCAGTGAAAGCACCTGCAGCATGTCATATCAATGACATCTTTCCAGGGTTAATGTTGAATGTACTGATTGGAGTTGTAAGCCTTTTAAAACATTTTCTGCATGCTGGATGCTTGTTCAGTTGTTAGAATTGCAACTGTGATACATACATGTATACATGTATAACTGTTAAGACTTCACTTAAAATAGACCAGTCATGAAATTTGATCCTATCCCGTTAATACGTGTCATGCCTGTTACCTGTCGTGGCCCATTGGTGAATGAGTTTCGAGCTATTTCATCATAGTTACAGCTTGGCCAAAGGGCAAGCTAGAAGATCAGTTTTCTTTGCCCTCTGCTGCTGGAGCGTAGCGCAGAGATATCTGTTTCAGTATTCAAATTTTACTGAAGTTACTTGACAGTCCAATGTTGCTATTGGTCAGCTCCCTGGATGCATGCTCAAAAAGTTATATCTCCCAGCACTGCTCGAGACATTTGAAAATATGTACTGTTGCTTATTCGACTCTTTCATGAAAATATCACTGACTCTGAAATTCGAAATCGGCCTGTAGCTCGCATCGCATATCTCACTGAGTGAACTTGGTAACATACGCGTTAGTAAAGTTAATTGCAACCAAAAACTTCCTGTAGAAGACCACCACGAAGTTAAAATTATTTTGATCGTTTTCGGCATAGATCCCACAAAAGCGTGCGACAAAGTACGCAATTTCCACAATTAATCGACAAGCTCCCTCAAGTGCATAGTACAGTACAATCGATGGTTATGCAATAAGTACAGAAGCTGCGCGTTTGCAATAAACTTAACTTTCTCGGCTTTATCTTCTACTTGATAGGAAATGTAATGCTCGATTTTAGGAACCGTTTCAATTTTAGGACTTTCCTTTATCAGCGTCTGGTTGTCATGGATTTTCTGTTCCACATCCAGCAAATTACAGAACGAGAGAAGACGAAAAACAACATATCATTTGACAGCGCTAGCCACACTCGTGATTTCGATCATGTTTCAGTTTACAACTTTTCTTTCCTTAATGTACTTGAAAGATGAATTACCTGTACTTGAAAGATGAATCTGTTCAGGTTGCGGGTCACTCCCATGTGAAAAATGCAGACACATCAGCAAAACCAACCAAGAAATCTTCTGCATATTCGACGACATAACGGCTTCCGCG